AGGAAAAGGCGGATCGTGCCACGGTGGCGCAGAAGGCCGACGAGGTTTATGTGCACGACCTGGAGAAGCGACTATTGGAACGCATGGAGGATTTGGAGGAGCGCATGACGATCTACGAGGCGGAGCGCACGGAGTTTCGCCGCATTCTGCGCTCCCTGGTGGATGTGCACCGCCGCGGCGAAGATGTACACAACAGCGACAGTCACCGTGACAGGGACGCTGCCAACAACGACCGCGATGACGGCGCCACTCGGAGAGCGAGGGCACTGCCTAACTTTGTGGTGCTTGACGAGGCCATTGAGCCACAGCGTGCGCGGGAGTGCGAATCGTTGGCTGCTGAGGAACCCCGTGCACCGAGACGCGCTAGGCAGAGAACCGACCTGACGACTTCCCGGGCATCGGCGAGAGTACAGGAAAAAAATCAATCTCCGTGCGGCGTGGTGGAAAGAAAAGTGGAAATGGGAGGAAAAGCTGTTGGTCTGACGGCGAATCAAGAGGCTTACGCGAACTACGTGACAAATGAGCTAAATCGCCGCGTTGTGGAGAGCCTCCCACCGCTACCCTACGAGCGTGGACGTTGAGAGTAGGCACTGCTTTGCGCCCTTTATTTTGCCTTTATTTTATGTACAATTTTGAACTTTTGGGAGATTCTGCCCATTTCTTGCTTTGTTGCCATTGCTTTTTTAGTTTTTTTTTTTTTTGGGGGGGGGGGGGGTGACTGTGTTCTGAGAGGTTTTTGTTTTGTATTTATTTTTATTTTTGCTCTTCTTTGATCTTTTCCTTAGTGGCTCTGTTTTTAGGGAACGCTCCCTCGCAATTTGCAACCAATCTTTTTTTTGCTTTGAAAGATGTTTTTTGCGTTATTTCTTCTGTTGCTGTGCGGCCCCGTTTCACGCGCCGCGGGCCAGGTGGATGTGCATGTGGCTAACCTTACCGTTATGGCCACCGGGTGGCCACAGACCACCGCTGGGTTGTCGCCATTTACAGCGGCTGTCACTTCCGTTGTGTGTGGTCCACTGGACACCACCGCCTCCACTGGCACGGCAATTCCGTGTGGTGGCTTTCTGGCACCGGTTTCAGAAGGCCATCTTTCCGTGCAGATGTATGCCGAGACAGTTTCTCTGGGAGACGCGCTTCGGGTGCGTCGTGCCTTTGGGGGCTGGGTGGAACATGATGCTTCCGCCATGCTGGAGGCTCTTACGGTGGCTGTCTCAGCAGTTGCACTGAAACCCTTGTCGTCGCTGTTGAAGGTTACAGGGGTTTACACGGTGCCGTGCCGCAGCAATGATATCTCTGAGGTCCTCCCAGTGTGTGCCTTCACACGCAACTGCCTGACGTCCATTATTGTAGATGATTTTGGTGGGAGTGTGAGCAATTTTTTTTGCAGCTACGTCCCCACCCCATGCGAATTCTACATAGCGGCCGAAGCAATCTCCTCAAACCAGGTAATGGTGAATATTAGCAGTCTTCCGAATACTCTCGAGCTAGCCCTTTTTTTCACAGATCAGGTGCACCGCTCTGCTCTGCATGCCAGTCGTATTCAGCTCTACTCGGATGGTCAATTTGTACAGCTTTACGCTTCTAACGAAAAGATGGCGTACGAAAAGGATATTAAGGCGGTACCGGTCTGCGCTGTCGAGACTGCGCTGTGGATGCTGTCCTTTATTGCCATCATTCCTATACTGTTTCTCCTATTCAGTTATCTTTGGTGCATGGGCCGCCATCACGCGAAGAAGGTGGAGCGAAGGGCCATCGTTGAGGATGAGTTGCGAGCTCAGGAAATGGCGGAATCTCAAGGAGCGACGGCTGGTCAGCTCCGTGCACAGCAAGTAATGGCTCACAATAGTGGATACCCTCAAGACAATGCCACAAGTCAGACGCCGCCACATGAACAGCAGGAGGGAATGCAGGGTGAATACGGCCAGTTTTCTGCGGCAGAGAACTTTGAGTATCCGCAGGAGTACGCTGCTGACCAGCGGCAAGAAGGAGAGGGGCTATATGACGGTTATTATCAGCAGGTGTACAATGGGGAGGATGACGCCGCAGTTGTTGACGAGTACGTAGAACCCAGTCTCGTAGGTGCTGAGAACGACGAGGGGATGCAGGCTGATGAAAATCCGAGCCTTGGTGGTCACGCTGCTCACTCTTGAAGAGAAATTCAGGGGAGTAAAGAAGGAGGGGCAGGAAGTGATTTAGTTGGGGAACGGCATTGTTGCTTGACTGCGTTTTTATCCAAGCTGCCTCCGCATTTTGAGTCCACTCCTTTTGTTGCTTTGCTAGGCGATTGTCACGAGGGGCGTGTGTGGCGGTGCGCTGTCAGGCCCTTCCCGTTAATCTGCCGGCTCATCGATGCCGCCTTTCTTTTTTGTTCTTTGCTGTCTCTTTTCATCCCCTGATCTGCTGATTTGTGTTCCGTTTCTTTGCACTTCACAAGGCACGCAACTGAAGTAGAAGTAAATAATAAAAAAGACACCAACAAAACAACGAAGCAGTGATTTCAAACAAAAATCCTCTCACAAGGTACAATAATGTCAGACGGGCAGCCAGAATGGACCAACGCGGCGGCGACAGCGCTGCAAGATGCAGTGGCTCTCGCGCGCAAGCACAGTAATGGCTTTTTGGACCCCGTCCATCTGGCGTGCGCGCTGTTCAAGGATGAGAACGGTCTCCCCTCGCGTGTGCTGAAGAAAGTCGGAGCGGGAATCGTGATGGACGCCCTAATGGCCCGCGTGGAGGCAATTCCCACACAAAGCCCTGCACCGACGCAGCCGCATCCTAACTCCGACATGACGCGTGTACTAAACACCGCGGAGCAGAAGCGGGTTGCGTTTGGCGATACCCTTTTGGCTGTCGACCACCTTCTCCTTGCGCTGTACGAGAGCAAAGACACCAATTCCATCCTGAAGGCGGCTGGTGCCGACAGTAAGACCGTTGAGAAGGCCCTGAAGGAGCTTCGCAAGGGGAAGAAAATTACCTCAGAGTTCCAGGATCAGAACTACGATGCATTGTCCAAGTACGCGATCGACATGTGTCGACAGGCGGAGGATGGCAAGCTGGACCCACTTATTGGACGTGCCGACGAGGTATTACGCACCATTCGCGTCCTGTCCCGGCGAACGAAAAACAACCCGGTTTTGATTGGCGAACCAGGTGTTGGCAAGACGTCCATCGTGGAGGGCATCGCGCAGCAAATTGTCCGGGGCGACGTGCCGGACACTCTTTCCTCTTCACGCATCTTTTCTCTGGACCTCGGTGCCCTTATTGCCGGCGCAAAATACCGCGGCGAGTTTGAGGAGCGTCTGAAGAGTGTTTTGAACGAAGTGCGGGAGAGCCCTACCCCCATCATTCTTTTCATTGATGAAATGCACGTCGTGCTCGGGGCTGGCAAGTCGGAGGGCGCAATGGACGCAGCAAATCTTTTGAAGCCCATGTTGGCACGCGGAGAGCTGCGCACGATTGGTGCAACGACCTTGGAGGAGTACCGCAAATACGTGGAAAAGGACGCGGCGTTTGAGCGGCGCTTCATGCCAGTGTACGTGACGGAGCCAAGTGTTGACGAGTGCATCAGCATCCTCCGTGGTCTGAAGGAACGCTACGAGACGCACCACGGTGTTCAGATCACGGACAATGCGGTGGTGGTTGCCGTTCAGTTGGCTGATCGCTACATTACGGGCCGCTTTATGCCAGACAAAGCCATTGACCTCATTGACGAGGCATGCGCAAACGTGCGTGTGCAGCTCTCGTCGCGTCCAGAGGAGATTGATCAACTGGAGCGCAAGAAACGTCAGTTGGAGATTGAGGCAAAGGCGCTTGAGCGAGACAAAAAAGAAAAGTCGTCGCAGGAACGGCTGAGGATTGTCAAGGGGGATATTCAGCGTGTGGAGGAGCTTCTTCAGCCACTCTTGGCACGGTACAATGAGGAGCGTCAGCGAGTTGATGAGCTGCACGAAATGCAAACCCGTCTTGATGAGAAGAAGACGAAGCTGGAGAGGGCCGAGCGAATGCGGGACATGGAGCTTGCCGCCGACCTCAAGTACAATGCCATACCCGTTATTCAAGACCGCATCCGGTCGTTGAAGGAGAAGATTGAGCAGCAGAAGGCCTCCATGGTGCAGGAGAAGGTCACGGAGGTGGAAGTTGCGGCAGTGGTGGCGCGCTGGACGGGCATTCCGGTGAAGAAGTTAAGCCAGACCGATCGTGAGCGACTGCTGCAGCTCTCGTCGCACCTGCACCGTCGCGTAAAAGGTCAGGATGAGGCGGTGGAACGCGTCTCGGAGGCTATTCTGCGGTCGCGTGCGGGTCTTTCGCGGCCACACGCACCCACTGGCTCCTTCCTCT